CAAATTGTTGTGCTTTTTAAGGCTGGTCGGTGTATGGTAGCAAAATCCACAATGAAATAAACACGATATATATATATTCTATTTACAAGTTATTATTATAATTAATTCCATTTTTGACAACGAACGATCTTGACAACTTTAAACAACTTGAAAACTTCACTTCAAACTACTCGATCACCAACTATTCTCCAACTTGAGCACGCCTCTCCCAACTCCAACTGAGCTAAACAATAAATCCATCCATCAATTACTTCAACACAACAAGATGCAGCTAAGCGTGCTTTAAATCCAATATCGACTACGGACAGCATAATAATATTAACAACAAAAGAGAAACGATATCTATTTTTAGAATTTCTGAATTTTGATCCCAGAACCTAAAAGAGGATCATGAAATACCTCTAAAAATGCAAAATCAGTTAAAGGCACTATGAATTGGCTGAGATATGGCCACTTAAGCACAGGCTCTTGCCCCATCAAACCTCTGTTATTTGGTCTTGGTTCATAACTTTATGAACCAGGCCAGAATAACAGTAATCCGTTAGCAAACTTCGAATCTTCTGTTGGCCATATCTTCCCCAATTTGGAATGTATCTAGCTAATTTTGCACATTGAGAGGTATTTTATGCCGTTCTTTCAGATTATGGGGCCAAATTTAAGAAATTCTAAAAATATATTTTTTGTGGCGTCACACTTCGGTACTCTATTGTTGCTCGTTAGGGACGTGCAATGCAAGTTTAGAGGCATGAAATTAGAACTCTCTGTTGTCTTTACCATTTCAGTTTTTTTCTTATCATGACCTTTTTTGTTATTGACCTTGTGTGTAACGAGAGTATTGAGATTGTTCAGAGGAGACTCTCTATTTTCTGATTATAATTTATTTTGCCTGTTGAAAATGTAGAAATTATAAAAACAGTTTTTTGGCAGTATAATGCTTTTAGCCAATATGTTATAAAATGTTTGCTTCTTTCAAAGCCATTTTCAAATTATAAGAAATGCAGTGTAGTATGGTAAGATAATTTTTTGCTCTCTCGATAATTTATTTTTGCTTAAAAAGGAGACCTGACCTTTTTGTGTATTAAGTGTCGCGACCGATAGACAGGACATATAGCCTGACAATCTGACATTCAAGCTAATGTTTACTTTCTCAACGGATTCTTGTAGTAGGGAGTCCAGGCTTTCATAATCTGCCAGGTGACTTTTTTTAAAATGTCTGGATGTTACAGGACTGATGACGTCATTTAACGGTAAAAAATCAGACAAAACCATCGTTAGCTCTTTACTGGAGTGTAATTTTTTGACACAAATTACATATTTTGACTCGTCTCATTGCAAGCTTTTAATTGATGTATATTTTAGAATGATTTGCCGCCATTAGTATTTTCATTATGACATCATCAAAAATTTTGCATGACGTCATCAAAGATCTTATTGCCATAGAATGATACATTGGCATAACTTTGTTTTATTATGGCGCTGGTTGTCAGCAAAAGCATTTCTTTCATAATTTTTTCGTCCAAATAATTAGTATTTGGATCATTTGAATTAAATTTGTGCGCACCGCAATAGCCAAGGAAGTTCGAATTAGGTAGTCACTACCTGACGAGTGGGTCATTTCTTCCTCGGAAGGCATTATTGCCTGGTTCAGAGTCATGGTCCAGCTCTGAACCGTACAATAAGTTATCTGCATCTGCACTTGACTGTTGCACTGAATTGGAAGAATAGAATGTCTTCGCACTATTATAGACTGTCCAAGATGTCTTCGCACTATAGGTCTTTAGCGCTGGGTATGAAGGTGCATGATTTCCTTCAGAGGTAAATTCATCTTCTGGGTCATCTTCATATCCTTGTGCTGTAAAGGAAGTTTACTTTTCACACCTTGGATGTCTTTTTGACTTCTTTTGAGATGGGGAAGCTGCTTTCCTGCGGACCATTGAGACTTTAAACGATCAAGTATGTCGTCCGAATTTCAACTGCAGGCTTTTGGGACATGTCTTGTAGTAATTGCATCTAAACACTGTAGCCAAATACGAATCCTTGTCCCTAAGCGGCTTCAATATAGTGTTCCACTATGTTCTACAGTTTCGCGAATGTCTTTGCGTCGGCGATAACGCTTTCTGGGAGTCTCAGCCCATAATTCCATGGATCTGTGAAAGAACACAGCAATTTTTGGAACCAAAGTTTCAGCGATGCCTCAAATCTCGACGATTTGTTTGTTGTTTATGCACATGAACCATTCATTAGTGGGTTTGCACTCCTTTATTGCATTAACAAGCATCACAAATACATCACTATCTTTCGCAACAACAGCTACTTTTGCATCATTCGAGTTAGCATGCAAAATCATTCTGGTTTCAGCCTTTTTTGATCTTGGAAGGACTTCCACTTGCTTTTATAAGTCTCCAATGCTTCCTCCCCGTAAGTTATGACCAATGGAATTGTCTGGAGCCTGTGACCCTCAGCGCTTCGAAATAATTGGGAGCAAGCTTTATTAGATTCTCTTTGTTTGCATCATTGTAAACAACCCTTTTTACCTTGGAGTATCTTTTGCTCTAAACTTTTTTATGCACTTGCCTTGATGACTCACCTCTACTTTGTCGTGCGCACAAAGATCCAAGAAAACATCGAAAGTAGTCTCAATAATGAACGAAGACCACCAAGCTTTCGTGATTGGCAAGGCTGCCTCTATCGAAAAGGCATTTGCATATCCCATCAAAACCATAACTCTAGTCTTGCAACTCCTGAAGGTGTACTGTGACAAGGAAATGAAGCTGTTCTTCTTAATTTCACGTGCAAGGAGTCAAATCCATATGTAAATCTACCACTAGGAAACGCCAGATGGAGTATTGATGAGATGGTCATATTTCGCAGCAGAAGATAGTCTTATTGAAGAAAGTCATGTACCTTCAGCCCAGCGCGAGGGCATTTTGGATAGCCTATAGTTTTTAAGACATTCTTCCGACTTAGTGCAACAGTCAAATGCAGATGCAAAGAACTTATTGTCCGGTTCAGATTGGGAGCAAGACTTTGCAACTACGAAGGAAGAAGTGACTGACTCGTCAGATAGTACTACCTTATTCGAACTTTGGCTACTGTAGTTCAAACAAACGTAATTTAAATGATCTAAATACTAATTATTTGATTGAAAAAATTATGGATGAAATGCTTTTGCTGTAATCCAGCCTCATATTAATACAAAGTTATGCCAACTTATCATTTAACGACAATAAGATCTTTGATGACGTCATGCACATTGTTTAATGACGTGATAATAAAAATACTAATGGCGGCAAATAATTCTTAAATATATATCAATTTAAAGCTTGCAATGAGACGAGTCAAAATATTCAATTTGTGTCAAATAATAACACTCCAGTAAAGAGCTAGCTAAATGATTTTGTCTGATTTTTTACCGTTAAATGACGTCATCAGTCCCGTGACATCCAGACATTTTAAAAAAAGTCACCTGGCAGATTATGAAAGCCTGGACTCTCTACTACAAGAATCCGTTGAGAAAGTAAACATTTTCTTGAATGTCAGATTGTCAGGCTATATGTCCTGTCTACGAGGGTTGTGGGTGAGGAGGGGCTGGTGTCACACACCTTCGTTGCCGCCGAAGGACTATAAAATTTTCGAATTTAGATGCTTCCAGCTCCCTGGGAATGCACCCTTTAGGCAAATTTTACTAAAGTAATCCTCCTAATTCTATTGAAAATTTTATTTATTTCTACAAACAAATTGAAAAACAGTTAAAAACGACTGGTACAATTTTGCCGTGGTCTTACAAATACCATGGTGTCACGTTACATCTAAGGGTCAGGGCCCGCGCCACTGTTTCTAAAGGCCAATCTCCATTGGGCGAATTTTTTTCGCTTTTGCGCTGACAAAAAGCGGAAACTACATGGCGCACAATCTCTAGCCTGCATGCAAACTTTACTTTCCGTTGCGAAGGAGAGCCAGGACGGAACATTTACAAGTTCCGTATCCAAGTTCGATTTTACAAGTTCCAGGACGGAACTTTTACAACCTCCAGCTCACGATAGCTTTGCGTGCCGGTGTATTGTATTGTAGATTATCTAATGTTGGTTTCTACAAAAGTGAATATAAACTAATTAAGACTAACATGAAGCGATTTCAAGAATAGCATAAGACAGTTCATTTACTGCAAAATGAGCATGCGCACTTGTTTTCAAGGAACCAAGTTTTGATCAAATTCTAAAATTTTCTAGTATTGTGCTGTCTTTATTGACTCCGGGAGTGAATTCCAGATTTTAGGCCCTTGAAAACTTGATGATCTGATACCATTATTGGTAGTTCTGGCTTTTGGAATGTCAAGGGGGTTTTTGAGTCGAAGGTTATGACATGTTGTTTCGGGTACAAAATAGTCTTTGATGAAAACAGGATTAAGGTTGTTAAGTGTTTTATAAGCTTCGAGCGCTAAGATTCTAACTGATTGGACATGTATGGTAGTTTCTTTTGAGTTAGCAAGTAAATCTTTGTAAGAAGATGAATAGCCCGAATATGATAGTCTTAATGCCCTCATGTTAATTTTCTCTAGCTTATCCTGACTTCCTTTACCCAGGGCCGCACTAACCACCGGGCCCAGGGGCCCACAACCAGTTGGGGGCCCCAAATTTTCTGAGGGATTTTTAAAATAGTTGTGGAAATGGAGTTTAAGAAAACGAACCTTTGTGTTAGAGAAACTAAGCAAACATCATGCGGTCCATAATGAGTATCACAGCCGACGTATTGGCATATGAGGGTGGCAAGCCTGACTAATTAAACATATTCTTTGCGTAGTATCACTTCATCTCGTGAACAATACTTCTCAAAATCTGATGTTAGAATATGTGTTAATACTCTATGCTTTATTCAGCCTTTGAGAAAGATATTTCCTGTTTATTGTTCAAACACAAAGCCGAGCAAAACTTGCCACTGACTCTTCCTTTTTGAGAAAACTAATTTTTGGCTTGTCTGCATGCACACTTTACGTTTTCAATATGAGTGAAAGATATCCGAGTGGAGCAAAAAAGAGGAAATTGAAAAAAGATCGTGAAGCATCGAATGAAAAGGTTTTGAAGTCAATCCTACAGCTATCAACCTTTGGGTTTAAACCTGAAGCAAGAGATGCCCAAAGAGAATCGAATTCCAATCAATCTAGTGAGAAATTAGACAAAGACGATACTAGCCTAGGTTTTGACAATGATACGTCGGATAATTCTGTTAATGAGGCCGTAGTTGATCCAGATGAGACGCATGGTGGAAATGGAAATGCCGATTCCAGAGAAGGCACTAGTGTAAATGAAAATGAAGTGGACAACGAGCAAGGCTTGCAATCAGTATCAGAATTCGAAACCGATCCATCTTGCTGGACTTTCATTTCCTTGGAAATGAAACGTTACTGGGCAGTACATGGACCAAAACAATGCCAAAACAGAGATGTATCATTTTTCAAGTCAAGTCGACAATACAAAGTGAATGATAACAAAATGAAAACAAGGTGCTTCAGTGCTTCTTTGCTGAAGAGAAAGTTATCAAATGCTGAAGAGATTGACCGAGATTGGCTTGTGTATTCCCCAAGTTCGGGCAAAGTGTTCTGCTTTTATTGTAAACTGTTTGGAGGGTCTAACACAACAGCTTTAGCAAGCTCTGGATTTGATGATTGGAAGCATCCTGAATCAATTTCCCAACACGAGAGGTCAGATGCGCATTTCGAAAACGTGAAGTTATGTACAGCATTTGCAAATGGAGAAGGGTGGTTAATTGAATCACAACATATCAAACTTCTTCAACAAGAAGAAGAACGTTGGAAAGGTGTTATTATTAGAGTCATTGAGGCTGTTAGATTTCTAGCTGAACGAGGATTAGCATTTCGTGGAGATTCGCATGTTATTGGAAATCCAAAAAACGGAAACTTTCTTGGTATTATTGAATTACCGTCCAAATTTGACCCATTTTTAGCCGACCATCTTGCTCGCTATGGTAACAAAGGAGCTGGAAAACCCTCATATTTGTCACAAAGAATCATGGAAGAAGTAATTTTGATGCTATCATCTGAAGTAACAAAATTAATTCTGATATCAATTTCTAACGCAAAATACTTTTCGATAATTGTGGACTCCACTCCGGACGTATCTCACATTGATCCACTAACATTTGTACTAAGATATATCGAAGATGGAGAGCCGGTGGAAAGATTTATCACTTTTACACCAACAAAGTCTCATAAAAGCGAATCTTTGACAACTGCTATCATTGAAACATTGAGCTCGTTAAATCTGGATATTAAATATTGTTGCGGTCAATCTTATGACAATGCGTCAAACATGTCTGGAAAATATTCTGGAGTTCAGGCAAGAATAAAAGAAATTAACAAATGTGCCCTTTATGTTCCCTGCACAAGCCATTCCTTAAATTTAGTGGGAAATGCTGCAGGCCAATGCTGATTACAAGCAGTATCCTTTTTCTCAACTGTACAAGAGGTGTATACATTTTTAGCAGCCTCCACGCATCGCTGGAACACTATGCAATCAAAGCTCTCCAAAAGTGAATTGGTTGTTAAAAAGATATGTGATACTCGCTGGTCTGCAAGACATGATGCTATAAGAGCATTAGTTCTGGCACCACGTTCTATAAAAGAAACTCTGGATGAAATTGCACTTGATGAAGATCAAACATTGTCCACTAGAAATGACGCAACATCCTTATCAGAAAAACTCGAATCTTTGGAATTTGCGTTGATGGCTGTGTTTTGGAATGATCTTCTAAAGCGAATACACATAAGTAACTTGTCACTTCAAACAGTGAGCCTGACGATGCCTTCTGCAATCGATCTATTGAACAGTCTTGAGCTATTCATTTCGGGGATGCGAAATAGAGAAGAATACCAACGGTATCTTGATAAGGCCAAAACGTTTCTAGACAGCACCGAACAGCAATTCAAAGATGAAATGAAAAGAAAAAAGAAAAGACCGAGACTGGCAGACGAAAGTGCAACAAAAGAAGTGGAGTTAGTTGGTGGAGAGAAATTTTACATTGGCACGTATTTGCCCATCATCGACAGCTTACAAACAGAACTTTCCATGCGAAAAGCTAGCTATGATGTTATTGAACAGAGATTTGGGTTTATCTGTGCATTACGAACAGAAGAAATTTCAGAAGGGTTCAAGGCCTTAACACATGCATATCCAGGGCACTTTGATGATGATATGGAGCACGAAATGATGCAATTTTTCAATTATGCTAAGGAACCGCTTCAGAAATACATAACCAAAGTGAGAGAATGTAAAAAATAAACGCAAGGGAAAGAAAGAGTCAGCAGATGGAAAGGAATGAAAGAGCAAGAGCTTAAAGAAATATCAACTGGGCAGTTTTTACTTAACCTTGTCAGGAATAACAATACCCAAGCCACATTTCCCAATGTTATGATCGCTTTGAGGCTATTGTTAACATTGCCTTGCAGTGTTGCCTCTGGAGAAAGAAGCTTCTCCATTTTGAAAAGAGTTAAGAACCAGTTTCGTTCAACAATGTCACAAGAAAGAAACGTGGCACTGTGTTTGATGGCATCCAATACGGATATTTTAAGAAAATTAGATGTTCAAAACGAAAATTTGCACTTACTAAGGCAAGAAAACACCAATTTTAGAACCTATTTACTTGTTTTACAACTCGTTAAATCAATTTTCTGTTTGCCTTTTTAAAGATTTGCTGTAGTTCTATTTTGTTTGTTTTTAGTTATATAATTACCTAATCCATTGATCATATGCCTCTTTAATTCTGTCTGCAAGTATCTTCTCTCAGCACCTTTGCATACTTAGGAGGGGCCCATAACACCAGTGAGCCCAGGGCCCCCAAAGTCCTTAGTGCGGCCCTGCCTTTACCACATAGCATCCCTATCAATGGACAACAATTGAAGTGACATAGTATAAATGAATTCATAATCTTTTTTTCTCTGTCGCCCATAAATCTTGCCAACCTTTTTAAAGAATTTAACTGTTTAGCTCCTTTTTTTACAGATCTTGTCGATATGAGCGTCAAACTTCAAATTTTCATCAATCTGAACACCAAGCAAAGTAACGTTGTTCTCTATTTTAATTGCAAATTTTTGGTCAATTTCAAACTCATTTATGCATTTAACTTTGCTGCCGATTGTGATATCTTGAAATTTAGAGGGATTTGCAATCATTTCATTAGATTTAAACAAATCAAGACATTTTTTGGTGTTAATTTTTACAAGTTGCAATAGTTCATCAGTATTTGTTGCAGTGACAGATATCGTGTTATAATCAGCAAAATTACATAAAGATCCTTCAGTAAGGCTGTAAAAAAAATATCATTTAAGAAAATATTGAAAAGTAGAGGTCCAAGTATTGAGCCCTGTGGCACTCTGGTACCCTTTGTATAAGTGTAACATTGTGAAATGCAATGTGTTTCAGATCGTGTGATTTCATCATTGTGCAATGTTTTGACACGTTTTTAAGAGTTTAATATTTACACTTGTCCAGTGGCGGATTCAGACCGGGTTCCAAGGGTTATGGAACCCTGTCAAATTTCCCAAAGACACATAACATCAGTTTTCCCTTTACTTTCGAATTAATCGTAACCAGTCCCAACGTCAAATGGCCTCTTGTACCAAAACCTTTGGTGCTCTCTAAATATGGTATTGTGAAAGAAAGGAACCCTGTCGTAGCCAAGGCAACTCTTTGTACCATATTGTATTTTTTAAGAAAGGAACCCTGTCGTAGCCACGGCAATCAATTGTCTTATATTGTTTTTGCTACAAACAAAAGAACCCTTTTGGAACCCATCTCACGAACTCATTGGAACTTATTTAAACCGCTGACCATACATGCTTCCTGTTGTCATAATGGCGACGTAAAGCTGCGAGTGACTGCACGATGACGAGAGCTTGTTTTAAGCCCTCAAACAGGAAGGGACCAGCACCTGAAGATTAATAAAATTTGATAATGGTATGGAAGAGTGCTATGATTTTTCAAGAAAGCTTTTCAAACACGGCTCGCCAACTATTTGCTCATTTTTCTCGACTGGCCTAGCCAACCTGGAGAAAACAGATCACCGCTTTTTTCTCATGGATCTAGCGAAAAGTCAATTTCAGATAGTTGTAAAGTGGCGTTCACGAAAGAATTCTTCATGGATCTGCCAAGAATCAGAGAATTCTTGGCAGGAACTCAGGAATGTCGAAGATATTTTCTCTTTGACGTAGAAAGCTTATAGAACTCTTGAAGCCCTATACAGAATATATTTATCTATAGAGTGAGATAACTTTATTAAGATAAAATGAAAGACTTTAGAGAATGGGATAAAATGATTTCATATTTCATAATTTGCACTTTTTTAATAATTGGGTTTGTTTGCTATATATGATAAGAGGCTTCGTCCATCGTTATCCATTTTTGACAAACTTGGTGAATATATGTAAATTTGTCTTGTTTATTATTTGGCAATATTTATAGCAGGAAATTCACTCAAATCTTGCAACACTCAGTAAGCTTATGTCTTGCTGTAACCAGCTAGAGGAATTTATTAAGGTCCTCTGTTTGGCAAGAAATCGAAACCATTCTTTTAGAATTCATAATGACAATTCCTGGTTTGGTTTACAGATTTATTTTTTTACGTGCCTTGGAATCATGATGAAATAATATATCTTGTTAAAATCAAATCTTGCAATTGTGAATCTTATCAAAAAGCGAAAATGGGCGTCACCCAATTTTGGAAAAAGTAAAGGGCGTTGCCAGAAAAATATGGGACCACGCCCATATTGGAACCCACTCAAATTTTTGTCTAGATCCGCCACTGCACTTGTCAGTCACGCAATGTTTGGAGTCGCCATTAATCTTGTACTTTTTTTGCATAAACTTAACAACGGAAATCACAGCAAAGCTTCTTATTTGCATCCCTTTTATAAAAATAGTTCAATTGTTCTTTACATCCTGAACAATATGAACCAGAACATTCGACCGGTTCGCTAAATTCCACTATTCGTTTTGGTACCCTACTCTTTAAATGCTTTGGTATGTTTTTGCAAAACGAAAATTGTCATACGCTTGTGTACTCCAGTGGCGGATTCAGACCGGGTTCTAAGGGTTCTGGAACCTTGTCAAATTTTCCTAAGACACAAAACACCAGTTTACCCTTTACTTTCCAATAAATCGCAACGAGTCCCAACGTCAAATGGCCTCATGTACCACAACCTTTCCTGCTCTCTAAATATGGTATTGTGAAAGAAAGGAGCCATGGTTATCTTTTGTAACATATTACTTTCCTCCAAAGAAAGGAACGCTGTCGTAGCCAAGGCAACTTTTTGTACCATAATGTATTTTTTAAGAAAAAAACCCTGTCGTAGCCATGGCAATCGATTGTCTTATATTGTTTTCGCCACAACCAAAAGAACCCTCTTTAAACCCATCTCACGAACTTTTTAGGACTTATTTAAACCGCTGACCGTGCATGCAACCTTTTCATAATGGCGACGTGAAGCTGCGAGTGAAGGCTAGGACGGCACGATGACGAGAGCTTGTTTTAAGCCCTTAAACGGAAAGAGACTATCACCTGAAGATCAATGAAATTAATTGATCGTATGGCAGAGTGCTATGAATCTTCAACAAAGCTTTTCAAACACGCCTCGCAAACTATTTGCTCATTTTTCTTGACTGGCCTAGCTAACCGGGAGAAGACAGATAACCGCTTTTTTGCTCATGGATCAAGCGAAAAGTCCATTTCAGATAGTTGATAAGTGACGTACACGAGATTTTGCAATAAGAGAGAGAGATTTCTTGGCAGGAAGCTCAGAAATGTGGAAGACATTTTCTCTTGGATTATAGAACTCTTGCAAAGTTTAAAGAACTCTTGCAAAGTTTATAGAACTCTTGAAGTGCAAAGTATACATAATAGATTTATTTATAGAGTGAGAACTTTATCAAGATAAAATGAAAATCTTTAGAGAATGGGACAAGATGATTTCATATGTCATAATTTGCTCTTTTTAATAATTGGGTTTCTTTGCTATATATGATTAGAGGCTTCGTTCATCGTTATCCATTTCTGACAATCTTGGTGAATATTTGTAAATTTGTCTTGTTTATTATTTGATAGAATATATAGCATGAATTTCACTGAAATCTTGCAACACTCAGTAAGTGTCCTGTGTTTGGCAAGAAATTGAAATCATTCTTTTAGAATTCATAGTGACAATTCCTGGTTCGGTTTACAGACTTATTTTTGTTGCTTGCCTTAGAATCATGATAATAAAAGTTATTATCTTGTTAAGATTAAACATTAAAATTGTAAATCTTATCAAGAAGTAAAATTGGGCGTCACCCAATTTTGGACGAAAGTAAAGGGCGTTGCCAGAAAAATATGGGGCCATGCCCATGTAGGAACCCACTCAAATTTTTGTCCAGGATCGTTTTGCATGCTAAGTCCCGGA